AAAAAAATGCTGCCATACATTTTTTTCCTGGTACACTTGGCGAATTTTGCCCCACATATGAAGTCACATGGATGTATGTACATATGTATAGTATTGAAAAATATTATTTGGTTAGCAATAGATTTTAAGTACTGTTGTAAATATACAATATAACCCGTGAAATTTGTATCTGAATATACATGTTAACATAAGAGTGATATGTTGACCGGCAGTCGTAACTGGTGTATGGAAGTCAATAAACAAAGCCTATATAAAGATCGAAAACGTTTTCGAAGCTAGATAGATTAGACATCTAAGTAGTGGCTTTCGATAGGACCGCCTTTCTGGAGGGTATTGATCTAACGTGGTCTGCTACAAAATTACTTCGACTTTGGGATATACGTGAACATGAGAGGCTACTCACAGGAGAGAAGCTTTTCTCTCTTGTGGTAGTCAACTTCTTAACCAGACTACGTACATATGTACATACTATGTATTAGTGTTGGGCAGTGTCGATACCAGAAGTACTCAGAACTCGATTCTCCAAAGATGGACCATCTGCCCATAGTTGTCTCGATTGATAAACCTGGCGACTTTGCTTCCGGGAAACACAGATCTTACATCGACTTTTCTAGAGATGATTGGAACAGCTTCGCGGAATTTACTGAAAACACCATCTCTGCCCCTTCCACACCAATAGGTGAGCGTGAGTTCCGCAGGGTTGTCACTGCTGCTGGAGCTCCCTTCATTCCAGCCGGATGCATTTCGTACTCCGTCCAAATTTTCCAACTGAAGCGGCTGTTCTAGCCTATGAGCGTGACAACCTTCGGCAGGCCGATCCCGGGGATCCCCGTATCAGGGATCTCAACACGGAGATTCGGAAACTTGTGAACGTTCGTAAGCGAAAGAAGTGGGAAGAGCGTTTGAAGACTTGCAACTTCGCCTCCGGAGTGAGAAAGTTTTGGTCAACCGTTAGATCGCTGTCCAACCCGACGAAGCGTCACGACAGAGTCGAAATTACTTTCGTCGAGTGACGAGAAGGCTGCACAAAATGCCAACACCCATAGCGCCTCTTGTTTTCACCAGCGGTGAAGTTCGGGTAGGAATTTCCATGCTGATGTTGAAAAAATTGGGTCTTGTGGGAGTAGATTATTTAATCAAGGTCTTCAATCTGTCCATGGAAACCATCATCATTACGAACATCTGGAAAACGGGGACGGTGGTCCCACTGCTTAAACCGGGGAAACCAGCCAACAAGGGAGAGTCTTATCGCCCGATAACCCTCCTTTCCCCGGTAGCGAAGAGTGCACAGCACAACAACAGCACTTAACGCCATAAACACCCAGATAACTCGTTGCCTTAACCGAAAGCGGCCCTGTGAGAGAACAGTCCTAGTAGCGCTGGATCTGTCAAAGGCGTTTGACACCGTCAGCCAATCCATGCTTCTAGAAGACATTAAGGCCTCCTAACTCCCACAGGGACTCAAGCGATGGTCGGCGAATTATATGAGTGGTCGACATTGTCAGTCATTTTCAGAGACAAAACCAGCAAACTGAGGAATATTAAAAAGGGCGTTCCGCAGGGTGGCGTCCTTTCTCAGTTGCTATTTAATTTTTACATATCGAAGCTTCGTCAAACAACAGGAGGAGTACGATCGTCTCTTATGCTAACGGCTGCTCGATAATGGTGTCTGGGTATGGAATTGATGTCTTGTGTTCGAAACTAAGAGGTTACCTCTCCGAGATTTCTCGCTTCTTCACTGCAAGGAGCTTAACCACTCCCCTACGAAATCCACGGCAACCCTTTTTACCACCTGTACGAAGAAGGTCAGACTGCAGCTAGGTATTCACGTCGACGACGAACCGATTCCGATGGTGAATAATCCAAAAATCTTCGGAGTTACCTTCGACAGTCTGTTCCCCTTCTCGGCGCATACAACCACAATTGTCAGTCGAGTACAGAGCCGCAACAAGGTCATCAAGTCGCTAGCCGGTAGCACCTGGGGCAAAGACAAATAAACGTTATTGGCAACATACAAGGCAATCGACCAGCCGGTCCTAAACTATGCAGTGAACCCGTGTGCTCGCCGGGGACTTAAAGGACGCAATGGACGAAGCTGCAGACATGCCAGTACACGGCACTACGGACTGCGACAGGATGCCTCCTGATTTCGCCCCAACACCACCTACACGACAAGGCCCAGATGCTCCCCATCAATGAGCGTAACACAAAGCTCTGCAAGCAGTTTCTAGTAGGGTGTCACAGACGTGGTTATTCGAGAACAGACAACTGCTTGCAGAAGAGCCCTCGCCAAGGTCCATCAGGCAGCACCTCTACGAACTGACGGACGAAGTCCAGAGGGTCATCAAACAACCTATGGACCCAACTGCATACAGACAGGCCCTGTATGGCATTCACAGGGAGTTAGTCTTGAGTCACATAGACTCTCGACCTGTGAATGCCGTTCTGAGCACACAACCAGCTAACGTGGACGGGCCAGAACTTTGTCTGCCTCGGGAGACACGCACCACAATAGCCCAACTTTGCAGTGGCTATTGCAGCAGGCTAAACTCATACCTGAGCAGAATAAACGAGGATGTGCCCAACCTGTGTCCGGCAAGCGGAGAATCGCCACGTTACTCACGGCACCTCTTCGCATGCCCCCAAAACCCCACCCAGCTAACGCTCCTGTCCCTATGGACAGATCCCGTTGAAGTAGCGCACTTCCTGGGCCTCCCCTCAGCTGAAGAAGACGACAGCGTCGATGGATGAGCCGACTCGAGCGGGATTTACATAGTACTCGCTACAACAACGTTGACGGACAAGCCGACCCGAGCGGGGCTTAGTAGCCGTTACAAGAACAACAACATAATATTATATATAATCGTGCATTAATATCTTAATATGGCTTTGACCCAAAATCTAGAACAAAAGCTTTTTAAAGGGTGTAACCCCGATCAACAATTTTAACTGTGAAAGAAGCAGTAAAGAGCATAGAATTAATTCCGCTTAAAAATTGTATACCTTATCGTGAAACCCAGTTCGTCAACAAGAAGAATGACTTATTAAATGTAATGGCAAAATGTCAAACAACATACATTTGCTAAAATTACCCACTTAAATTTGGTCCAATACATATTTTCAAAAGTATTTTGGCTTAGTGCAAAAATGAGCCAGTGATGTTTTTGGGTTAAATGCCCATATT